CGGATAATATTATTCTGTATTTTATTCTAGATACCTCAGTTAAACCCTAATTTTCCCAAGAAACTATTAAAATTTTCTCGAGAAAATGCGTCAAAGAGCTAGAGAAACTCTGTTTCTTGCTTCTGAGCAACTAAGTTCATCGAGGTATGTCGTTTCTTTTTCTTTTTCTTTTTTTTTTTATTTTTTAAATTTCTTCATTTTCATTTTTATGATATCTCTGAAGGTGGAATTGAAATTTTTTTTCTAGTGATTGCTAATTTTCGGATTTTTTTTTTTATCAGCTTGCTGAATCTTTCATACTGGATAACATGTTTCTCTCAATTTTCATAAAGTAGAAATGGGAACTAATTAGCTGGGTAGTTGTTTTCACTCAATTTCTTGTTCTGCTATAAAAGGAATTTCTGGGAGGATTTGAGACGATGTCTCCGTCTAAAAACCCACCCAGAAGTGTTCGACCTTCAATCAAATACAAGTGGGAACCTCCTAAAAAGGGGTCTTCAGTTGAGTTTGGTGAGCTTGTTCATGAAATATATGCCCCAACTGTGTCGGATGAGAATAAGAAAAGTTGTAGTAGATCTGAACCCAAGTCCCATGAAATGTTAAGCACAGCCGAGCTCATTTCGTCAGTAGGAAAGTTATGGGACCGTGCAAGTCATCTTCCCATTTTCCAATCAAAGGCAAATCTGAATCAAAATCATTCTGTTTGCGGAGAGGATATCTTAGCCAATCTGGACAGGGAGGGAAAGGGTCAGGAATGTCTTCCTGTTGATGATAAGTGCTTTCGGATTAATTTGAGGTCATCTACCCAATTCTCACCTGTCCTTCGGCCAAGCTTTGAGGCTGTCAAAGTAACTAAGAAGATGTGCATTTTTAATGCCCATAGCAAAGATCATACTCCCTCATTTTTCTGGAAACTTCTTTGCGGCAGTGCTGATTCGCCTAATGGGTCATGGAAAAGACAGGGGCTTGCAACTATTGGATTCTCAAATGAATTGGGAACTGTGTACCAATGGATGAGGGAGATAATTCCTACTGGACTCAGGTACCATGCCAACTTCTCTGAGGCTAAGGACAAGAAAACTGTTGTAAATTGCATTTCAGATGATGCAAGTAGATGTTTAGGGGGGAGCATCTCAGCTGATAGAAGTATCCCTGCAACTAATTTGGCCAATGGAAATGCTGAAGTTTATTCTAGTTTAATCAAATCTAAGGATCCACCAGCATCTAATGATGCTAAATTGGTAAACAATATAAGAGAAACCACCTCTCTGTGCTCAGATTATTTCCTTGGAGCTGTTCAAGATTGCAAGGCAGATAATAATCCAATATCTAGAGATTGTAGCCTCTCTGAAGATTATCATATTAACATTTTATCCTATTCCAATATGTATGAAGAGTGCCAACTTTTGGCTGATGATAATGAGCTGCTCCAAAACAAAAGAGAAGGACGTAAATGGTCTGTCACTGAGGTTGATGATAGTCTGGATATTCACCCAACAATGCATGAAAAACCTCAATATGTCCTTGCTAAGCAAGAGCATGCTTTTGCAGGGGCATTGGCAGGAATATTTGTTAGCCTTTGTCTACATCCTGTTGATACAGTTAAGACAGTCATTCAATCTTGTCGTGCAGAGCAGCGGTCTATTTGTTATATTGGAAGATCAATTGTTTCTGAAAGAGGTATGTTATGTAAGGCAGTTAACTTGCATATTACAAACTTAAATCCAGTTCAAATGGCTTTCTACTTTTCTGCTTATTAATGAATTTAAACTTGTCAGGTTTAACTGGACTCTATCGTGGCATTGCTAGCAATATCACATCTTCAGCTCCAATATCTGCGGTTTATACTTTCACATATGAATCAGTTAAAGGTGCTTTGCTTCCTCTTTTCCCTAAGGTAGATTTGATGTGTTACCGTCTCCTTTTTTGTTCATTTTCCCCAAATTCTCTTTTTTATATAGCCCTAGATCCCATAAGACCCTTGCTTTCTACTTTACTAGTCCCTAATGCCACCGCAACAGCTTGTAGACAAAACTTTCCTACATCAGATTTGTTGTGGGGTTTTGTTAAAACTGTAAGTGTAATGCTAACACACTTCTTATCTGCAGGAGTGCCACTCCTTGGCCCATTGCATTGCTGGTGGTTGTGCAAGTGTTGCTACTTCTTTTATTTTTACCCCTAGTGAGCGTATAAAGCAGCAGATGCAAGTTGGTACACATTATAATAACTGCTGGTATTCAACTTCTCCCATTTCTCTCCAGTGTTCTTCTCTCTATGATACTTATCATTCTGTCACAACAGGAATGCTTTGGTTGGAATAGTTAAGACAGGGGGTCTACATTCACTATATGCTGGATGGGGGGCTGTACTCTGCAGGAATATTCCACACTCAATTATCAAGGTTTGGTCATTTTACATTGTGGATTGATGATTTGACCTTTGCACTATGCCATGGGACCATGAAAGAAAGACATTTCATCTAGTTTGGGAGAGAATAAAAAAGAAAAAATAATAATTCAGAGGCATTATATTAGGTCTAAGTTCTGACGAACTTAGGGTGCTCCATGAGCATGTTTGGTCCTTCTTTGGCAAATTTTGAAATTCCAGTTTAGTTTCTCCATGGTTTTAGATTCCAACCCTTGCCCCTGCTCTCCTTATTGCCCCTTTTCTACTTGTAATTTATGAGGTTATCATTGCCAATTTGTGCAGTTCTACACATATGAAAGCTTGAAGCAAATGATGTTGACACCATCTAGTACTCAACCAAATACATTGCAGACGGTTTGTACTCCATTCTCTTTCTTTCTTCATTTTCAAGTAATCTTGATATTTGGTACCTAGTTGTTGCTGATGTTTTTTTTGGCTACCTCTTGCAGTTGCTTCTGTATATGTACTAATATGATTTTTTACATCCGCAGCTAGTTTGTGGAGGACTAGCTGGATCAACTGCTGCTTTGTTCACAACTCCCTTTGACGTGGTGAAGACAAGATTACAGACTCAGGTGTACTATAGCAAATACTTTGTGGCTGTATAATTGAATTTTGATTTTGCATACTTAGTTGTGTCATCCAGTTTCCAGATTGTTATCTCTTATTATAGAAGGGGTGTTATGCAGGTACCTGGATCCTTGACCCAATACAGTAGCGTGTATCATGCCCTTCAAGAAATAGGCAAGCATGAAGGTCTCAAAGGTCTCTACAGGTACAAATTGTCAATGCACAATGAAGTGAAATTAATAAAATAGAGAAATTTCTTCTGCTTAGTCCTAGCGCACCAATGCAATTATTCCTAGTTCTTAGTGATACTACAGTGGCTACTGTATATAGGATATACAAACGCCATTTCTAATTCTTCAAATTATTATTACCAGGGGATTGATTCCTAGGTTGGTCATGTACATGTCTCAAGGAGCAATTTTCTTTGCATCATATGAAATGTTCAAGAGTTTATTCTCCCTGGATGTGCCAAAACAAACCATGCAGCACAACAAAAAAGAAGAAGATGATTCCACTCCCACACCATTATCTTCACGGTCAAGGTTGCATGGTTTATAGTCGTGATGAATGGCAGAGCATAGTTGCAACCAGAAAAGCATTTTCTGGTGTAAGTTCATTATTTTATTTTTTTGGGGGGGGAGGTGCCAAAAGGCAGTTCAATTATATTGTGTATTTTTTTTGGTTATGGAAGTAAAAATAGTATTGAGAATTGAGATGGGGCATTCACGCATACATTTTTCTTGTCCTTCTTTGCAATAAATAAGAAGACTGGGAGTAAAATGAAAAATGAAAAAGACAAAGAAATAAAGGAGAGAGAAAAAAAATAAAAAAGATTTAAAATGACATTCCGAGTTCCGACGCAGGCGGTGGCGACGACGACGATGACGACGACGACGTACACCCTCTCGACTTCTGTCTTCTTCTCTATTGTCTTCTTCTGCTTCTCTTCTAAATTCTTTCCCATATCCCTAATTCTTCCTTTCTAATCTCCATTTCTGGTTTGGTTGCTATCAGAGTCGCTCCCATCGGTATCAGAATTGCATCAATACGACTTCTCGGATGATCGTTAGCTAGAACGGAGGACGAGACAAACGCCTCTTCTTCGGTTCTTCCATCACCTGAACTCTTGCGAAAAGTGGGAGAGGAGAGAAGAATGTAACTTGGATTATCGTGTAGTCGCGCTCGGACTAAGGTTTGTGAAAGGCTTTCAATTTCAATCTTTATTCTAATTCGTTGCCTCTTAATTGAAGAAATAGATTGTAACCCTACCTGAATTTCAGTTTCAAATATTGTTCGGATTCAGTTTCAATTTCATATGCTCTTTGCTTTAACATTTCTTAACTCATCAGAGAAGAGAAATTGAAGTGAGCTTTTATCTGATGACGCACTCTCTGTGTTTTACAGTAAGTTAGGAAGAAAACAAATGGTTGAAGTTGCTTCTGAAGAGGGAACTCGACGGCGCCTTCCATCATGGATGCTGGGTGTTTCTGCTGCTGACCAAGTGAGGAAGTCTGATAATGGAGATCAAAACGATACTGTCAAAGTGGAAGGACGTGTCACTAGCCGCTCAAAGGCTAAAAGAAAGCCTGGGAAAGCTGAGTTGCATCAAGAAAAGGAAGTTTTTGTAGCAAGTTCAGATGAACTTTCAAAGCCTGCAAGGAGAAGGAAAAGAAAGTTCAATGGACAGGATGCTGAATGTGATGCTGAAATTGCTTTGAAGGAGAAGAAGAGTAATGCAGAAAGGAGAGAAGTTGGGGAATCTAGTCTTGGGGTTAAAATGAAAGCAGAAGGCATTGGCTCTGGAAGTAGTAAAGATATTGAAATCCCATCCCCAATTGATGATGGTAGTAAAAAACTTACAGTCAATGCTGCTGAAACTGCTGTGCAGAAGATTAAGAATGGTGGAGTCAATAGAAAGGCTTGGGGATCTACTCTTGATGAAAAAGTGAAAATAGTAGGCATTGGCAGTGAAGGTTGTAAAGATTTTGGGATCCCATCTCCAGTTGATGATGATGATGATGAACTTACCGTAGAAGATTTGATCAGCATTGCTAAAGAGGTGATTGTCCTTTGGCCCTTTTGAAAGAGATAAAAAGTTTCACCACTGTTAGATTTGTGTGTGTTTGAATTTTATACTAAATCTCTCAAATTGTTATCATTTGTGTGCAGTATGTCAAAGCTGACCAAGATGTGGAAAGACCAAAATCGTCGAATCTGGATTGTGAACTAGAAAGGCAATTTCCAGCAACAGCTTCTTATAGAAATGAGTCAGAAGGCTGTCTCAATGCCAGTAATAGTACTCAAAGGTCACCTACTCATGAAGCAGCAAGCAATAACTCGACTGTATGTCTGGCAAATGAACACAGTTCCATTAATACCAGCAGAACTGGGGATCCTGTTCAGGATATGCTGGATCTGTATTTAGGTCATTTGCTAAATAAACCTGTACAGGAGCAGAGAACTGAATCTATTACGAAGGATGTTGCAATTGCCAATGATTTGGAAAAACAGAGTCTCAATGATGTTCAAGAAGAAAGAGTCCCCACATTGAAAAAGAAGAGGAGTTTAAGAGACGAGGCAGCCTTGTTGCTTAACTGAAGAATTGATCTTCTCAGGTTCATCTCCATCAGCTGCACCATTTCTATGACATAAATGCATCAAAATGTATGCAAATTGTAGATTTTGCACTTCAACTTAAGTGCTTACTAATGAATTTAAACATGTGAGGTTTAACTGGATTCTATTGTTCAAGTGTTGCTACTTCATTTATCTTTACCCCTAATGAGCATATAAAGCAGCAGACGCAGTTTGGTACGCATTATATTAACTGCTGGTATTCGACTTCCCCAGTTACTCTTCAGTGTTCTTCTCTCTATGATACTTACCATTCTGTCATGACTGGAGTGCTTTGGTTGAGAAAGGTGTTAGGGGACGGATCCCCTATTGCAGGTGGGTTTGGAGACCTTGGGCGCTGGGCCTATTATTTATTTGTTCCCCGTGGGAGGCCGATTATGTTAGGGTACGGATCCCCTATCGCTGGTGGGTCCGGAGACCTTGGGTTCTCAAGTGGTACCAAGGTCACCCATGAAAGTTTCTTAAGGGAGACCTCGGGTTCGACTCTTGGGGAGGCTTTCCTCAGGGAATAAATAAACAATAGGCCCAACGCCCATGGTCTCCAGACCCACCAGCGATAGGGAATTCGTCCCCTAACAAAAAGTACCAAGGTCACCCACGAAAGTCTTGTAAACTCTTGGGGAGGCCTCCCTCCAAAGGAACAAATAAACAATAGGCCCAGCACACAACATCTCTAGACCCACCAACAATAGGGGATCCGTCTCCTAACAAAAAGGACCGGGGGAGGTCTCCTCAACTCAAATGGTACCAGGGTCACTCGCGAAAGTCTCTTAAAGGAGATCTCGGGTTCAACTTCTGGGGAGGCCTCCCCATGGGAACAAATAAACAATAAGCCCAACGCCCAAGGTCTCCAAACCCACCAGCGGTAGGGTATCTGTCCCCTAACAAAAGGGTGTCTTAACCCTTGCACCATGGCATAGGACCAAGAAAGAAAGACATTCGATATTCCTGTTTAATTCTCCTTTGTGCTTTTAGATTCCAACCCATGCCCTTGATCTCCCTATTGCGTCTATTGAACTTGTAATTGTAGAGTTTATCATTGCCAATTTATGCAGTTCTACAAGTATGAAACCTTCGAGCAAATGATGTAGATATCATCTAGTACTCAACCAAATACATTGCAGACAGTTTGTACTCCATCCTCCTTTCTTTTTTGAAGTTATCCTAATTTTTGTAGCTAGATGTTTCTGATTTTTAAGCAACCTTCTGGAGTTGCTTCTGTATATGTACTAATATGATCTTTTACATCCACGGTTGGTTTGTGGAGGACTAGCTGGATCAACTCCCTTTGATGTGGTGAAGACAAGATTACAAACATCAAAGCCTATAACAAATGCTTCTGTATACCTATGACACTATTCTATCATCTTGGCCCCTTTCCATTTATTTGTTTATTTAATCTTCGTGTGTAATATACGCATAACATGGAGCAGGCTCCTAACAGAGCCATTTTTGAGATTTCTAAAATACGAGGTGCAACTGTGGGCTCCGTCAATCTATTAGCTTGACATAAAGCTGTCCAAACCAGATGCTTTTAAACAGTAGTTCAAATCCCAACACTAACTTTGTATCTCTTTGTCTTCCACATAACAAACTCTTCCACGGAAAATCTGTACCATGCATACTGCGTTGGTAATCTTTACGCAACCAACTTGGGCAATTTTTTTTTTTCTTTGAACATGAGAGAATTTGAGGGAAGGGAGATTGATTTTACCAAGAATAAAACCAAGATCTTAGCCTTGCTAAACTTGTTTCATATCCAATGCAACTAGTGCTGCAAGTTCACTTAGGAAAATGTTTTATTCATAAAATATCTTTTGATAATAAAGATAAAAAATAATAATAGTGTTAGAATAAACTTACATATGACTTAAAAAAAAAATTTTTTCTACCCCTCACAAAAGAAAGGGATTGATATAACGTTCCTCCTGTTACTCTTCTCATTACTTTCAGCAATTTCCTTGAGGCTCATCCAAGATTTTCTCCTCCTTTTGCTTGATGCACTAACAGTTTTTTCTGCATCTATTGTGGTAGAATTGCCATCGCATTCAGCTGATCTTTTAGATCCCGATTTATTCCTCTTTCTCTTGCTCCCATCCAACAAAGTTCTTCCTATCTTAAACAAAGGAGTGGTTGGATTATCCACAGGTGGAGCCTCCTCTGCTATTGCTGGCAAAGGTATCACCTCAACATTACAAGATTTATCTTTATCTTCACTTGTGTCTTGGTCCCAGCCGACAGACTTAACAGCCTCGGAGATTGAAGGTGTCTTTAGCTTAGGAGGGCAGATGCCTTTCATATGGCCTTTTGGAGTCCCTTTCTTCAGATTCCTATGTGAGCAGAAGTGGCACTTAAAAACCACATTATTTTGTGTCAAACCATGAGGTTTCTTACGTCTATGTCGTGCTTTTGCTCCATTCTTTTCAATACGAACTGTACAGTTAAAGCCAGGCCTAAGGATTGTCTCACATCTGCAAAATCATAAATTTTAGTTGTTTGGTCATTTACAAATACAGTATATCGGAAACAAGAGCAACCAACCATACATTGCTTATTGCCTCCTTCATTTCAAGCAATTTCACTTTCACCAATTCATTACAGTAAACATGAGGTTAGGCAAGCACTAATCGAACCAAGGCACAGTATCACTCAGATAATAATAGAAACATACTGGATTTCCTGCCTTCTACATTTTGTCTTTATTTCAACGCACACACAATTACTTCAAAAGGGTATTATGAGTTGTAACTTCAGAACAAAGGCTACTAAACACAATGTCTTGATTCATCAACTTGGATGCCACACATATGAAACTTTAAAATCTACAGCAATGGGATCCAATAATTCACATTCCCATATGCATTTTGGGCAGCAACATTGGCTACACCAATTTATGTACTAACTGAAAGAATGGGGATAAAATGAAAAAGAGACAAACCTCTGACAAGGAAGTAGAGAAGGGTCGGGGGAGATACCGGAGATCTCGCCATCAGCGGCTAATCTGTGGCCAAAGAATGCCGCCAAAGAAGGGATTGAAGGTTCAGAACTTGCCCAAACCGCTAGATTTTGCAGGTGCTCGTGCTTCAATTTAGACTTCACATTGGTTTGCTTCTTCCCACTCACTTCTTCCCTAAGAGAAATTGGGTTTTGAGACAGTGGTGTCTTATTCGTTGTTCTTCGGCTCCCTCCCCTCTTTCCCATGCTTGTGAAAGCTTCCGCAGGTTTCTTTTTTCCTATGAGAAATTTCGTCGAACACTTCGAGTGTCAGAAATTACATATAAGAAGAAGAAAACACTAATGTAACACAAACCATCAAGAAAAGGACTTTCAAAATCAAAATAAATTCAGAAGAAATAATTTCACAAAGGAAATAATTACCTTCAAAATTTAGAGAATTGAGTGAATTTCTTCAGAGATTTAAGAATTAGGGTTTCATAGACAGAGACATGGTTGTCAAACTCGCTATTTAACTCGTACAATCGCACGAATTTCCGATCACAAGTATTGATTTCGAGTTAACTCGCACTTAAAATTGAAATCACAGTAAAATCGTGTTGGACTCGTTAAATCGCTTAAAATCGGATGAAATCGCATCGCGCGTCAATAGCTGGGTAAAAAGAAGAGCTTAGCGGCAGCACCAATGGCTGGGGGCGGGCGGGTGGCTGGCGGCCGTGAACTAGCAATAACAACAATCACAGATGTTCACAAAGAAGAAGATGAATGACTTTCGGTTCTTCAATTCTCAGAATTTGGAGAAAATATTATAAAAGGGAAAAGGAAAGAGCTTGTGGGCCAAGGCCCATAATGTAATGTCCAAAAATTATATAAGATGGAATTATTTTAACTCAATTCAACACTTGCATCGTAATATTAAAAACTCAATTAATAATTTATTGGTCCTAATGAAAAGAATTTAATTTTTTTTAATTTAAATATCAAGTTCGAGTCTTGTGAATGAAAAAATGGGCTTTAAAAGAGCTTCTCCGCTAATGGAGTCTAATGTGGATCGATTTTGAATTAGTTGAGATCCAATGTAATTATCAGATACTGGGAGATTAATATAAAAAAATAATGTTAAAAACTCAACATTTATTTTTTTTAGGGTTATATTAAATTAATAAATATAATTTATTAATTTTTATATTATATATTAAATTTAATAAACTTTTAATTTTACTAATTCAATTGTACAATCCTGATTTTAAATAGAAAAAATAATTTTATTTAAACTCTTAATTTTGACAACTTTAGACAAAGGACGAAGGAGCTGCCCTTTTTTTTTTTTTCTTACAGAAAAGTATTGAAATTTTGTTTTGTATCAGAAACAAAACGGCACCATTTAAATTTACATGTGTAAGTCTTCAATTTATAAAATATAAATGAGATAATCCAAATTCATTATACTACCTCAAAACACATCAAATCCACTCGATTGGCTTTGATATTTGCCAAATTTGAGACAAATCTACCCAAAACACAAAGAACCATGCTCCATTACACCTATTAAAGATCTAAGAAAAGGCCACATATGTAAGAATAAACCCAGAAGAAATTGAGTTTAGGAACATGGTTTGTCTCAAATTCCAAAAAGAAAAAAAACTTAGGAAACACATAGGGTGGTCTTTGCATTAGATGACCTCAATATTCCCATATATGTATTATTTTTATGGTACATTGATAATAATAGATTTATATAAGAATAAATAACTCTTTCAATTTCTTAAATCTCTTCCCACCTTACCTAAATAATTTTAAATTTTTAACCATTGAATCACTTATTTAAAAATCCCATGTATGTGTTATTTGTATTAAAAAAATAAATGTGTTCAATATTTTCGATATTAGAACACTGCTTCTCTCGGTTCCATTTCATTATTTAGGCAATAGTACGTGGACGATATTTAGAATGGTAAGTGTAGCAAATTAGTAATGACTTGTCTTACAAAAATCACATTTACTTACCAATAAAATTCTTAATAAATGTACAAG